GCTGTAGCGCTTCTTGCGGGTGGGCAGTCTCCTCTTGCGGGCACGACGGTCTGCCAGCTTCCAGAAGGATCTAAAAACTAGATCACCTATTTTGGGATCCTACACTACAAAAGGGTACTTAACAGTAACCCCTTTGAGGGGGTCATAGCCTACTGTTTTGTAGTGTTTGGGATCACAGGTAATTCCTGAGCCCGTAATTCGGACGTGCAGAGCAGAGTGGTCTGGACCTACTTCCCAGAGGGTCTAAGTACTCAAACAGTTTGGTTTCAAGGCCAGAAACCCAAAGCCACTAAACCCTACCAAATTTAAGGTTTAAGGTTCAGGGGGTAGGAAAGAATTGAAGTTTATGTGCTTTAAAGGAACCCTTAGACGAACCCCATAACAGCCGCTACTACATGGACACTTGGAGCCTCCGGACTCATCGGCAAACTACGGCAAGTGTGCTTAGGGTTTAGGGTTTAGGGTTTAGGGTTTAGGGTTTAGGGTTTAGGGTTTAGGGTTTAGGGTTGAGAGCCAAGTGGGACGGGCCATCTGCAGCACTGGGTCGTGCACATCCCTAGTGGGAGCTAGGATTAGGGGGACCCTTGGGGATATAGCCCCTCTCAATAAGGTCCCTTTTAAGAGAGCCAAAAGTAGGGTTCAGAAGGGGTACCCTAAACCCTAAACCCTAAACCCTAAACCCTAAACCCTTTAAGGGGTACCTCTAATAATACTACCGACCTAGAGGCTCCAAAACCCCTTAATCGAAGAATCCCCTCGGACATCTGATTTAGGATTTAGGGTTTAGGGTTTAGGGTTTAGGGCTTAGGGTTTAGGGTTTAGGGTTTAGGGTTACATTGTATAATGTACGAGCCAAAATAGTTACCAATACTGTTGTGGGGGTTCCTTGTTGAAATTATATAGTATCATATACCCCAAAAGCGCTATTCTAATTAGTAAGGCCCCTAGCTTAAGCGGATTTTGGAAGGGTCTCCGGCCCTAAACTGGGTCCAATGCATCCACTCGACGTTGATACGGCTCTACTCCAGACCACTTAAAGGAACCCTTGATGCGCCGAGCCAGCATAGTCCGCACCTGAAGCCAAACCCCTAAAATCCGAACTCCGAAGCGCTTCTTGAGGTCTACGGCTTCTTTAGGGCCAGACAGCCATACAATCCCAAACCCTAAACCCTATCCCTTGTAGTCCCCCGCATAGGTCCCTTTGTGGAACCCTAGGAAGGAACCCTAAACCCCAACCGTTGCAGCTCCCTCTATTGGAACCTGTCAGGGGAACTTGGGAACCTTATTTAATTTAACCTTACATTAAAGGAAACTACAGGTGGAGAGTTTAGGTTCTACAGGGCTTCTATAAGGCTTCCATAAGCTATATAGACCTTCTGTAAGGCTCCCATATCGGTAGCTACCCACCTGAAAATGTCCTAGACTCACCCCCAAGCCTAAGCCCGCAACGAGAAACATGAAGCCTTTAAGCCCTAAGCCGAAACCACTTAACCCAAAAGCCTAAACCCTATACCCTTAAACCCTTAAGCCCGAAGCCCTACGCCTAAACCACTAAACCCAAAAGCCTGAACCCTGAACCCGATACCCTTAAACCCCTAAACCCTAAAGACTACACCTAAACCACTAAACCCAACAGCCTAAACCCTAAATCCTAACCCTATATCATAAACCCTAAAAAACCTATGCCCTCAACCAGAAACATGAAGCCTAAACCCTAACCCTAAACACTAAACCCTAAACCCAAAGCCCTTAAACCCTAGCCTAAACCACTAAACCCAAAAGCCTAAACCCTAAGCCCTTAGACCCTAGCCTAAACCACTAAACCCGAAAGCCTAAACCACTAAACCCCCAAACCCTAAACC